CTGAGCTGACTGTTGTAATAATTTTTTTAAATTGACTCCCTCTTTTACACCCAAATATACTTAAACTGTAGTTTGGCTAAGAGATCATTTATTAAGGATTTTCTTCAGCTTCTTGAGTTAATTGCCTTTAATTCAAAATATTTGGATAATGGTAAATAAACCCAGGATAGTCTTTTGTTTGGTTCTGATAATTCAGATATGACTTTTGAGTAACATCCAGCTGAATGTGTAAAATTTTAACAGTTCTGGCATGTGCCATTGAGGGGGAGAAACTCACCTTACTTTGCAATAAACCTGTAATTTTGTCATGCTAATTCACTCAGTTCCTATTCTGCATGTTTTTTTATTTACCTGGCCCTGGCTTTGTAGACTGGTCCAGTGTTTTGAGTGGCCACAAAGTCAAACTTGGCAAGGTATTGGAAGCACGTCTATCTTGAAGCAGATGGGTAATCTTCATGTTAGTGGGGTCAGATTTAGAATTCAGCTTCTTGTTTTGCTGAATATTGCAGAATGAAGTATAAAACCACTGTCCTCTGAGCTCAATTACAGTGTTACCCACATCCCACCTACAGTTTGCAAAAACTTAATTTTTAACTTCATGGAGCAATAAAAAAGGATAGGCTTATTCCTTTGTCTAGTTCTATATTGCCAAGTTGTATAAAGACATGAAAGCCAATGATGTAAAGTGTCATTACTAACATCCTTTACAACTGATCCTTCTAGTCTTTTAACCACATTAGTAACATAAGCAGAATGTGTAATTAAATTAAAAAGTTGTGGAAAGAGCTGAAAACCCCAAACCACACGGGCAAGTTCAACAATTTGAGGAGATCTTTCTATTATTTGGACATCTGATTCCCAAGCTTTAGTTGTTTGGTTCAACCAAGTTATTACCGATTTGTGACTTTTGCCTGATCCATCAGTGAAGAGAGTTATTACATTTAAAGGTTCTTCACTTAATATAGGTTATCTCTAAAACTCAATTTTACCTGCAATAATTAGTGAGCTAGGTAATGAACAGAACAAATACCTGGGAAATCATCAGAATTTTGCATTGCCCAATCAAGATAATATTTTTTCAATGGTAAATAGATAACTGCAAATTCTTGACCTGCTAAATGTAACAGTCTTGCTCTGGCCCTCATTACAATTTGTGCTATCATCTCTAAAACTGTAAAAATTGTTTTTGAAACCTGTTGGGAAGAAAAACCCATTCTCTTGTCAACAAAGGATTTCTCTCAGAAGGGTGCCATTGAAAGATGAAACCATCAAGTCACATTTTTTAAAAAAGGAAGTCCATGACCTCAGAAGGTCATGAAGCAACCTCCAGGAGTCCAATGTCTTCTTGTGGATGATGAATACTGGTGAATTCCAGGGACTCTTCGTGAGTGTGATGTGACTTTGCCGTAATTGTTCCTTTACCAATCTTTTAAGGATATTTAATTTTTTCTCTGTTAAAGGTCATTGATCAATTCATATAGGATGATCAGCTTTCCAGTTTAGCTTTAAAGTGGCAGGTTTTGATGTGGTTTCCATCACAGTTCTACTTCCAGTTTTGCTCCCCATTGGAACAGGAGGTCTTTCCCCCAGACAGTGAAAGGCTTCTGAACAACAAAAGGACGCACTGTTGCTGTCTTTCCTTCAGGACCATTAATGTTAATCATGGACGCACTTTGCAAACACACAGTAGCACCTCCAATCCCTGTGAGGGAACCTGCAGGAGCTACCAAATCCCAATCATAGCACCAAAACCTGTGAGTAATTACAGCGACATCTGCACTGCTATATAGCATACCTGTAATATAAATTGTTTTATCACAATGAGTCAAACTACAAATCAATTTTGGTTGGCTGTGGTCCAAACATTGCAGCCAAAAGACCTGTACCAAATGGCACAGACATAATTGAATTCTCTGTAAAGTAGTTTTGCTTAGGTGTATTAGTGGGTAAAAGAAATGCAATAGCTATAAGTGTTTTTGGTGGAATTATCTTAGGAATTAAGTGCAAGAGCTAAAATTACTAACTCCTCACTACAGTTTACTAAAACAACAGCTGAAAGGACTGAAAGTCCCAAAATTTTGTTGCTGGCTTTGCCTAGAATAAAAAAATCTTGTCTTTGTTGAAAAAAATTGATAATTCCAGTAGAAATGCTTTCATAACAAAAAAATATTTAAAAGGTGTATCAATTTTGAGGAGGCCAATTCTAGCCTTCCATTTGGGAATTCCAGCTGGGGCTATTTGAGGAGTGGTTGACTGAGGGATACATGACTGAGGTACCAATACCATTTGACTGTAAGGAGGTACCACTACTTGTGTCAAAGCGCGGCTCTTTTTTTAGTTTAATGACAAAGGTTTCCCATCGATGTCAAATTGAGAGTGACAGTTCTTACAAGATGCTTCCCTTTTTGACATCAAGGGCAAATAGGAAGTTGTTTAGATTGGATTGTTTTTGTAGGACAATCCCTTTTCACATGTCCTGGTTTCTCACAAGCAAAGCACCAAGCCTTTTTATCTGAGTTCAACTGTACAGTACCAACAGATTTTTCAAAAATTTTTGTGTTTCTACGGCTTGTTTGACCGTTTGTTGTTTCAAATTTTCTCCCAAAGCTTTTGCCAAATTATCTCCCAATGTTTTTCCTAACTTTTCTTGAGATTTTCTTGTGCTTTCTAAAAGTATTACCTTGCACATTAGCAAGATGTTGTGGAGAGATGAGCTTACTGCAAGCTGTTAGCATCTGTGTTACAGTTGGAGGCTGATCAGGTAAAGTTAAAACAATTGTTTTACATTCTTATAAGTTCTTTGATATCATGGTGAGAAGGAGTTTTGTATTGTGGATTTACATCATTATGACAAAGGCAAGGAAGAGTTCATCTGAATCCAAAATTTTTCTCTAAAAAGAGCAGGGGGTTGCCCAAAGGAGGCTGTGAACCTGTGGGAAGCCCATGCTGGAGCAGGTGTCCTGATAGGACTTGTGGCACTGTAGGAAACCCACGACAGGCTGTTCCTGAAGAACTGCAGGACTTGAAGAACTTCTGAGGGAAAGACTTGTGTTGGAAAAGTTTGTGGAGGACAGTTTCCTGTGGGAGGGAAACCCCCAAGCTGAAGGAGGGGAAGGACTCATTGCCCTGAGGAGGAAGCAGTGGCAGAAGTAACAAGAACTGACCGTAACACCATGCCTGGCCTCACTATGCCACTGAGGGAGAGGGGTAGAAAATCAGCAATAAGTTTAGCCCAGGAAGGAGGGAGGGCTGTGATGTCTTTAGGACTTGCTTTATTTCTCATTATACTTTTTTGTTATGATTGGTAATAAATTCAAATAATTTTGCTATGTAGGTTCTGTTTTGCCTGTAATGGTATTCAGTGAGTGACCTCTCTCTGCCCTTAATTCGTATTTTCTCTCCATGTCCAGCTGAGGAGGGGAGTGATGGAGCAGCCCAGATCAATCCATTGCACAACCATTATGGTAAAGATAACATCAAAGAGTTTTTGTTTTTATCTTCAGCTGAATCTTACCCTGGCTTATTTGTAAGTCAGTGTTAAACTTATTTTTTGACTAAACAGTGGTGCAGATGAAAGCAAAAGCTACCCCATTGCTATTTATTGCACATATATAAAATTATACATGTTCCTCTCCGAGATAAATAAAGGTAGCCCTTAAGAGACCAAACAGTCTTCTGTCATTTGGCTGAATTTGACACATCATAACTGTAAGCTTATTGTTATCTGTAGGGATACCACCAGCACTCTGAAAGAGAGCTGGCCTATTGCAACACCATTGTCCACAGCGAACATTGCTCCCTGGTCCATGATTTTATTTGCAATTCAACTAGTTCTTACAATTAAGATTCACCTTATAATCTTGGCTAGTAAATGTGTAAAATATTCACTGAAGTAAAGAGCACCTCATTTGATAAACACGTAGCTTTAAATTAAAGAGCAACGGATGGGCCTACTTCCCAAACTGGAATACTAAAATGAGGGATTGATAAACTCTTGTGTTCATTATTATGCTGCCGCAGATCCCAGTATGAGGCAGCAAAGCGTTGGTAAATTGTCCTGGTGGCTCTTTTGAAATTGCAGCTGTATGAAACTGTGGAAGGGTATGAAGGGGACCGTGAGAAAAGCGGACAAGTAGCACAAGTGAAGCATCTTTAACAGTGAAAGCAACACGAGTGAATTTCATGGCTGCTTATGGAATGCTTAGGTGATTAAACATAAATTAAGTACTTTCTGCGACCAGGGATGCAAATGGTTATTTAGGACTGTGATATATGCGGGAAGCGGCCCTGCAGCTGCCCTGAGGCACCCAGCCAGGAGCCTGCAGCTAGCCTGAGGCAACAAAGATGCAACTCCTTATCAGGGATGTATTTTATAATCCATAAGCGACGTGTGGGATGTGAAAACCCAACACCTTTCTCCGCCATACCCCGCTGCTCCAGCAGCCAGGGGCGGCTGGGAAAGGGCGCCCGGGGCGGTGAAGGCCGGGCGGGAGGAGCCCGTGAGGGGCGGGGGGAGCCCGTGAGGGGCGGGAGGGGCCCGTGAGGGGCGGGGGGAGCCCGGG